TCGATTTGATCTATTGATGAATGGAGGAGAGTGACCACGTCCCCCTCTCCGGTTATGCTTTTGGTGGCCGCTGCCAGTTTGGCGAGGCCGTCTGCCTCGATGTTCTGCGCTCGGGGTGTTTGGTCAAGATGGAATTCGTAGAACTTGGGTAATAGTTTGCAAATTTCAGCCTGGTATTTCTGTAGTCGCTGCTCCTTAAATTTGAAAGTCCATGTGACTTGGTTGACGACGAGTTGCGAGTCGCATCGAAGGATGACTCGCCGTGCTCCGTACTTGAGTGCCAACATTAACCCTGCAATCACGACCTTATACTCGGCCTCATTATTAGTCATATTAGGGCACCGTATGGACTGGCGGACAATTTCGCTTGTTGGGACCTCGAGCACGAGTCCTAGTCCAGATCCTGATGCGTTAGAAGCAACATCGGTATACAAAACCCATTGGTCGTGTATTTTGGCGGAGATACTGACGGTTTCCCTTTCGACTTCGGACATTATCTTCGTACTGAAGTTGGCAAGAACTTGCGACTTTATCGTCGTTCGTGACTGATAGGTTATATCGTGCTCGCTCAGCTCTATGGCCCACTTGGCCAATCTGCCCAACAATTCGGGTTTGTGTAAGATACTCCTTAAAGGGAAAGTCGTGACCACCGAGATGGGGTGGCACTGGAAATAAGGTCTAAGCTTTCGTGAAGCTACGACCAGGGCCATAACTAACTTCTCGAGGTAGGGGTACCTCGTTTCAGCGTCGACCAAAGTTTTGCTAACGTAATAGATTGGAGATTGCTTACCTTTATTTTCTCGTATCAGGACTGCACTTACTACGACATCGGACACACCCAGGTAGACAAGGAGGCGTTCTCCGAGTTTTGCCTTAGCGAGCAACGGTGGTGAAGACAGGTAGGCCTTCAGTTCTTTTAAGGCGTTGGCGCACTTGAAATTCCATTGGACTCCGTTATCCTTTTTGAGTACGCCAAAAAATTTGTGTCACCTATCGGAGGACCACGAGATAAATCTTAACAAGGCAGTTATCTGACCGATTAGCTTTTGCACTTGTTTATTGCTGCTTAGATTTTCTAGGATTCCTTACTTTGATTTGGTCGGTATTGACCTCGATGTCTCGTTGTGATACCAAGAAGCCGAGGGGCTTTCCAGATGTCACGTCGAAAGCATATTTCTCGGGGTTTAATTTTATGTCGTACCTTCTGAGTATGTCAAAGGCCTCCCTCAAGTGGTCGATATGGTCTTCCTTTCTTTTTGACTTGACCAACATGTCGTCTATATATACTTCCATGGTCTTGCCGAGTTGATCTTTGAACATTTTGGTCACTAGCCTCTGGTACGTAGCCCCCGCGTTTTTTAACCTGAACGGCATCACCCTATAGTAGTACGTCCCCTGGTGGGTGATGAAGGTGGTTTTTTCCTGGTCCTCCTCCTCTATGACGATTTGGTTGTAGCCTGAGTAGGCATCTAAGAAGATTAGCAGTTCGTGCCGATTATGGCGTCGATGAGTTGGCCGGTGTGGGGCAGCGGGAACGAGTCTTTTGGGCAGGCTTTGTTCAGATCTGTGAAGTCTACGCACATCCGCCACTTACTGTTCTTCTTTTTCACCATGACCACATTGGAGACCCACTGAGGGTACTTCGATTCTCTGATAGAACCGTTCACTAACAATTCCTCGACCTCTTCACGAACCACGTCATTTATTGCAGAGTTGAACATTCGTCTAATTTGCCTTACTGGGGGGTAAAATGGGTCGACGTTCAACTTGTGAGTTTCTATCTCCTTTGGGATACCTCGCATGTCTGCATGAGAAAAAGCAAATAGGTCTACATTACTTTTTTAAGAAATGGTGAAATTTACCTGGATCTTGGAGTTTATGGACGATAAAAGCTTTCTTGCTGTGGCTGTTGTCGTCTAATTGGACGGGGTCGAGGTCCTCTACGGTTGACCCCGTGGCTTCTATGATTTCAGGGTCACTGATGACGTCTTTCCTTTCATCGCCATCTGACCCCGACTTTGTTAATTGCTATGGTTCCTTGGCCTTTCCTTTCAACTGTTAGGTGTATGTGCAGTCTTGGGCGATGCAGTAGCATTCTCGGGTCGTGCATTTCTCTCCCCGGATGCAGAATACTGCCCAGGAGGTGGTAAGTTTAATGACTAGGTACAAACTGGAGGGGACGGCTTTCATGGCGTGTATCCATGGTCGGCCTATGATGGCATTGTACACCGTATCCTGGTCCATGATGTGGAACGTGGTCTCCAAGGTGACGCCGCCGGCCAGGACGGGCAGTGTGATATCTCCAGATGTCCGCTCAACTGCAATGTTAAAACCTGTTAGCGTGATGCAAGGTGGAACTATCTTGTCCTCGAGCTCCATTTGGGTGAGAACTCGAGGATGGATGATGCACGCGCCGCTTCCATCATTGACAATAATACGTCTTCTATCAGTATCAAAAACACGTAAAGTAATGACAAGGGTGTCATAGTGAGGAAAGACCAAACCGTGGGTATCTGACTTATCAAGATGATACTTTCTTCGAGTTCGTCATACCGTCCGTGAGTGATTGACCGCTTGAATTTGTGGGTGGTGGTGAACTTCACGCTGTTGATAGATACGTCGTCGCCTCTTCCGATGATCATTTGAATGGTCCGAACTGGAGAAGGTGGTTTGGGCGGCCCCTGGTGTTGTTCTCGTCCTCGGGCGAAGTTGGCCCTCCCATGATCGCTCATCAGCTCTTTTAGGTGCCCTTGATGAAGCATGTTCACGGCCTCCTGCCTAAGGGCGATGCAGTCCTCGGTCTTATGACCCCGTTACTGGTGGAATTCGTAGAGGGCATTTGACCTTCTGGTGCTCGGGTCGGACTTCATCTTTTGTGGCCATTTTACCTTTGTGCCGAGCTTTTCCAGTGCGTAGACTATTTCTGCGGGGGAAACACAAAAATTGTGAGCTGATAATAAGGGGGCATACCTCTTTCATTTCGGTGGATTTTCGCGGCCTGGAAGGACCTTCATCGTGGTGTGGAGGAGGCATGAGGGTTCCTTTGACATAAGGTTGATGTCTTTCTCGATTAGGTCGGGATCCTGCTAGTTCTCTCCTACTGCCGTTTCTTCGTTCTTTCCTAGACTCCATTTGGACCGAGGTCAGACGTTGGGTAGGTCCGTTGAGATCGTCCTCGTCGGCTCTTACCTCGGCATAGTAGGCGTTGTGTATCTCGTCCCAAGTGGTTGGACGGTATTTCATGAGTCGGCTCAGCAACTTTTTGGTCGCCCGCGACCCACTTCTGCTTAGCCCATTCTGAAAAGCGGCTACCGCCATTCCTTCAGATACATTCGGAAGGGTCATTCTTACAAGGTTGAACCGGGCGAGGAAGTCCCTGAGCCCTTCGCCAGGCGATTGCTTAATAGCAAATATGTTGTTCACCCTTGCCTCTGCTTTTTTTGGCCCTGGCATGGCCGGTGACGAACTTGTCTGCCATTTCCTCGAACGTTTCTATGGAGCGCGCAGGTGGCTGTAAGTACCAAGTCAGGGCTCCGCCGGTTAGGGTCTCTCCAAACTTCTTCAGCAATATGGATGATACTTTTTCTTTTGCGAGGTCGTTGCCTTTCACCGCAGTGACATAGTGGGTCACATGATCCTCCGGGTCCATCGTGCCGTCATATATTTTCAAGTATGGTGGCATTTTGAAGGTTTTTGGTATGGCGTGTGGTGCAGTCTCGTCACTATATGGTTGCTCGACAAAACGACCGGCGTCTCTTTTTGGCAGAAGTTTTGGGGCACATGGTATTTTGTCTACCCTTTCTTGGTGCTCCTTCATTTGGCTATGGAGCATTTTGTTCTCGTTCTCCATTTTCTCCATTTTCCTCAAAATGGCTGTGAGGGTGGCATTACCTGCATCACCAACATTGTGAGTAATACCTGATGCAGGGGGAGCGTGTTGTTCGTCAGTTGCTGATGCGGCACCAACTCTTGTTTCTTCCCTATTCGACCTCCGAGCGGGCTTGTCAAGGAAGCCGGTAAGCGTATTTGTCAACCATGCCTCAAGTAACTTTTTCGCTGCTGGTGGTGTTTCTTCTGTCGTGGACGTAGAGGCACCCTTTCCGTGCGAGGTCATGACGCTATCGGGAGGTGGAGGCGAGCTGTTTCGCCTGGGAGAGGTGTTTGGTGTTATGTCTTCACCCTATGTTTCGTCTACTTCGTTACGGTGTTGAGGAGATTGGCGGTGAGATCGGCTATTGCCTTTCTCTTTTCCTCTCCATTGCCTGCCATGTCAGATTTGTGTAAACAAGGAAATACGAGATTTTGCAAAGTTTTGTGCGTTCTTTTTTTTAGATATAGAAGAAACTAAAATTTTAACTAAAAAATCTCACAGACAGCGCCAAATTGTTTGACAAGAAAGTGTTAAGCCTTTTAGCTAAACTAATATAGAGAACTTTATCGGATTTGATGTGAGAAAGCTTGGGACAAACAACAAATCGAATCTTGTGTAAAGATAATGTTTGTAGTTACTTGAGAGTAAACTTTTCTAGAGAGAGCTTATCATATAGAATATTACATATCTCTTTTCTTTCTCTCTCTCTTCCTACTTATATGGGACATATCCCTTACCTACTAGCCGTTTTGGCCGATCCGAATGCTCGACCTCAACCTTAGCTGCTCGGCTCGCCAATATTACTTCTTAAGCATGACCTCGACCTAATTGATTCTTGATTGCCCTCTTTCAGGTGAGGTCCCCTTGATCAGATTTTGACCCATACAATCGTCACTTTGACAAATATATCAAGAAAATTGGGTTTTACGCATATGTTAGCTGTGCCTAAACCATCTGATCACTTACCAGAAATGATTAGAAATTTTCGTCTTTTTCACTTCTAATCAACACTACAACAATACAGCTATTTTTCAAATGCAATTTCCATTGGAATTCAATGGATATCTAAAAAACAATCAAAAAGGAGTAGATATTTCGTGCTAATATATTGGCAACGACAGAGAGCTGATAATTTTCCAACTCCAAATTTCTGTATATATTCAGCCAGCAATGAAATCAATCTCTCAAGCTTCTTATTTTTCATCAGAATTTCAGAAACATTGCACAAAGGCCTTAACTTGTCTTCCTTTGGGTGGGGCATATTCGACTATTGTTCTTCAACCACTAGTACGGAAGAACTAGATTTTGAAAATGAGCCAACTGCTGTTAAAGATGGCAGGTATTCATGCCCTGTCTCATACTAACAATGTAAAGCAAACACTACTTTAGAGTTGACATCACTCAAAGTTATCTTTGTTCATTGTAACATATCTGATATCAATTGAAAAGTTGTCACTTGAAAATAGAGTAGTTGATGGAGGTGGTGCTTTGATACTCCTCGGTTGTGCCTTGATCACTTCCCAGCTTCGGTCGGTGTTTTCGTAGTCATCTGGTCAACTGCATGCACAGTGTTCTGAAGCTCTTCCCATATGGCTTTGTAGACCATCCTCTGCCTGTTCACAGCAGATTGTCCCTCAAAAGCTGAAGAGACTACATCAATGCTGCAAAGAGAAGAATAACAATGACATTACAGAGTTAGCAACAGATACACTCACCGCTTGAATTAGTAAACCAGCTTCATTTTCCATCCAATGCACCATCTAATAGTGAAGAAACCTCACCTGACATGCCGACCATCACCATAAGCATCTTTAACGATGACTGAATCCGCATTCAACTGTTCCTTGATCTGTTGACATATATTTAAATTTCAAATGGACCATTTTAGGCAGAAGCGAAACCAGCACAAAATACATGAAGGTAAGCGCATTGATGTCCCCAGTAGAAATGTAGCCTAAACTATTGGAAATATAAGAGCATGGAATTTATGCAGCTAAATGTGCATAGCCAAGCAAATTGTGCTATCTTTATTAATGTAATAGTAGGCTACAACCTTGTTTATGTAACTCTGACAAGAATGACAAACATGCAAAAAGGTCAATCATCAAAAGTTTCTGTAATGTCACATTTGAATGGAATTCTTGAAGAAAAATCTACTCCAACCAATATGCCCTTAGGCACGGCCACACATACATAGAGATCACGCTTGGAAATGGTGGACAATGAGCTACAGCAAAACTGATTGCGAAAGATGGGACAAGGAAGAGTAGTTCTTTACCAGAACTGAAATTGTGGACATGCTGCGCTTTAGAGCTTTTGCTGCTATATTTTAGTTAAAGTAGGTGCTAATATATGCCATAAAGAAGCAGCATTCTACAGTTCGTTCTTATATGACTCCGACGTTAATGGCATTTGATCAATATGAACCACCTGCGTTGCACCAGAACCAGTTTGCCAACAAAATAACTTATACTTACTATGAGGAAAAAGAAGAAAAAAGTAAACTATATCCGAGTAATTGAGAATATTGTAAACTAACATGTAAGGATCCTCTAGAAGGGATTCACGTAAATCCAAAATCCAGACCTTGCTTTCTTATTTGGTGCAATGAAGTCTTTCTATAAGCATAGTTCTATTAACTTTAATACAACACAGCGACAAATAATGTGAGATTCTCCTAATATTTGATAATTGCTTGCACAATAATCCTCTCCCCACCCACTAACACTATCGTCAACAAATGTACACTCCCTCTATATTTTCTCTTCTCTTTACATAGTTCAAGTAGTTTTCAGCATCTATATCTGCCTTCCTTTCTCATTCAGCCACTTCCCGCATCCAGGAAACCACTCAACCTCATCACAGCTCTGGTGCCTATAAAATTCAATTTTTCTCTTAACTCTTACAGTTCACTGCACATGGATCAAGGTGTTGCACTGCACCATGTCAGTAGCTATTTGATATAATATGCAACATCTGTGATCCTAGGGAGGTCAGTTCAACTTAACCGATAAAATTCCAGAGGCTAATGGCGCACGGTTTGAAACTCGGTGGATAATTGGCCTGCCCCTCTACCCTTCTCCACTTAAGTACCAAGCTTATGTTTGCAGCACGGTTAGACGCACGTCACGAGCTGCGCTCTTATCGCTAGACCAAAGTCCTGAGAGCAAGGGGTTTCATCGCATGCTTCACCGAACATCCAGAGGTTGCTTTATTCACTGTTTTTCTTGATCCTTCTTTTCTTTTCAAATCCTAACATCTTCAACTCTATGAAATACCATTGTAATAAATATCATAAATATTTTGTAGCTTCATGATGGCACATACTCATCATTATCAGTTCCTTCTATATAAATTATATTGTAAGATGGCACGTACTCAAGGATGTTTTCTACCCAAACTGAAAATCTCACTCCTCTACGTCCCTACCAACGAATTGAACCCCGTACGTAAAGCCCCTTGAATTTACACCTCTTTTTTCGTCCTTAATTTTAGACCTCAAGTTCTTCTTTTTGGTCTTTAAATCCCTCCTCCCAATTCTCGTTCTTCCTTTGAATCTTGATAGTTAACGTACTATTCTATTCACTCTACATTTTTTTTTGGGATCAACACTATTCAGTCACTGTACTTATCTTTCATAACTACTCTATCAAGTAGTGAGGCTCGTTTGGACTCGGTATTCAGATGCTTTAGAGTTTAACAAAAAAAAAAAAGGTAACGGCGTTAGTAGCAAAAAGAAATATGCTTCCAAGAACATTTCTCGGGGTCAAAGCCTCAGTAATCCATAAAGTTTTAAGCTTTAGAAAGAGATACTAGCAATGCCCAAGATATAGAAACCACAAAACAGATAATACAAGCCCAATTAAACAAAATTGCAGTTTTATGGTCAGAAAAGGGGCAATAAACTCATTCCTAAAAAAGGGTCGATAAAATTAACCTTTTTCTGCATAGACTCCATAAGAGGAGAATCAATTGAGCCAGTATCGCTAGTTGCACGAGTAGAGAAAGTCCGACGACCAGCGAAAAGCTCAATCTTTGAACCTATTTGGGGAACGAGCTTCATCGGCCTGTAGGAACGAGCAGAAATAGAAACGCATTTGAGCAATGAAGGTACACGTGGCTGAACGGAGCTGCTCAATCGCCGGATACACAGCGCCGCCACGTTTGGCCTTACAAACAACGCCTTCGTCATCTCTACTCTCTTTCCTGTTTGGCGTCAAAGCGAATTAACACCTTATTCCTTTTATCTCTTTTTTGATATCTTTATTATTGTTATTGTTTTTAAGAAATATAAATATATTGTTGAGTTAACTCGGACTAACCTTGACTTGTTTAACCATACAAAAAATTCATCTAATTTTTCTTTTTGTTTAGATTGAGATTTGAAATTTTGAATCCTAATTTTTTAGTTTCTATCCCACTTTGTCACATAATATTTAATCGTAATCATGTTTATACTAAATTAAATAATTTAATTTTTAAAATTAAAAATTAAAGTATCGTGAAAAAATCACTAGTTGTAAGTATGTTTTTTTTACAATCATGAGCTATTATGTCAATTGTCAAAGTTTCAAATGCTATGCACCTCTATTATTTCTCCAATTAAAAAAACAGTTTTGAACTTTTAAAAAATATATAGAACTAAGTACTGTTTCTTTATACACACAAATTATCTTTTTCAAAATTGTATCAGTCTATGTCTGCTTTTGACAAAATAAATAAATATAAAATAAAAATAAATTGTTTTATAAATTCTCTTGGCATCTTTACTTGTTCTTTTCCTCATTGTTTATTATTTAAAGACAAGAGTTGAAGCTTTGTATTTGGACGTACTATTTGTGGTTATACATTGTCAAGCAAAATAAAGAAACAATTGATGATATACACATTTTCCTCTAGTATACCATTTTTCAGAATTCAGAAATATATAATATGAAAACAAATATAGTTTTGATCAAGATAAAAACAAACATAATTTAAAATTGGATAAACAATAAAAATTCTTTTGCTTGTCTTTGAACTGTTATCATTTACAATAGGGATGTTCATAAAAACCCGAAAAATCGAACCAAACCGAAAACCAAACAAAACCGACTAAGAAAACCGATAATTTTTGGTTTGGTTTGATTTTGGTTTTGAATTTTAAAAACCGATCAAAAGGTTTGGTTTTGGTTTTAATCAAAAAATAAACCGAAAAAAAAACCGAACCAAACCGACTATAGGAGTAGCTATTTCAAATTTATTATTACACACACACACACACACACACACACACACATATATATATATATATATATTTTTTTTTTTTTATACAAAGTTTCAAAAATTCCAAATTTATTATTACACCTATATATATGTATATTTTTATACAAAGTTTCAAAATTTTTATGGTGAATGTTAATCGTTTGCACTTTTAGTACGGTTCTTTACCTTTAGGCCCCGTTTGGCCATGAGTTTTCCCAAAATAAATTTGGGATTTTTTTTCAAAACTCATGTTTGGCCATAAATTTTGCTCATATTTTGGCCAAATCCCAAATCCCAAATTTCAAATCCCAAAATCACCTATTGAGCTGATTTTGGGCCAAAATTCCAAAACTTGGGAATTATATACATATTTTTCTAAAATAAAGTTGGAAAATATGTTTTGAAAACGTATGTCCATAAACATTTTCATCTTCAAACGAAACTTCACCCAAATCAAATTTTTCAAAATAAATTTGGGATCTATAGCGAAACGCTAGCTTATATTCTAGTTTGGTTGGTAGTTTTCTTTGTTAAGTGTAAGAAACCCTTTCATGTTAAGAAAATATATTTTTAATTGAGTCCTTAAATTATTCATCACTATTTGATTCAATTATCATCAATATATTTTAGTAAATAATAGATTTCTCGAAGGGCAATTGATTTGATAGTGTTATGTGGAAAATGTGGTCGCTGGAATATGTATTTGGTAGTGTATGTCTTATATTTAAGAAAAAACCGACAAAATAACCGAAAAAACCGAAAACCCGACAAAACCCGACATAAACCGAATCGAGAAAAATCGACTTAATTAGTTTAGTTTGGTTCTAATATTTGAAAAACCGACTTACTTGGTTTGATTTCTCATTAGATAAAAACCGATCCAAACAGTATCTCTCACCTGGGGCTTGCTATTTCCTTTAAACTTTTAAACAATATAGCAAAGCTAATCATTTTTGCACTGTTAGGATTTTGTAGTTATGTTCATAATGTTGTCACTATTATAACATTTATGTAAACACCACACCCGTGTTAGAATTTTTTTTGGAATGTAATTGTTTGACCTTTTTAACTAGCTTTTTGCATGCTTGTGAGTTGTGACGTTAATTAACTAATGAATCTATGAAATTTAATACATGTAAATATAAAATTAAAGCATTTACATAGTCATTAGGGAGAGAAAAAAGAATTTCATAGTTAAATATAGTCTTACTTACAACAACAACAACAACAACAAAAAAGCTAGTGTAATCACACAAGCATATAGGGGTGTTCATGGTTCAGTTAGGGTCGGTTTTTCCCTAAAAAAAAATCAAACCAAGTAAGTCGATTTTTTAAATATTGGAACCAAACCAAACCAATTAAGTCGGTTTTTTATCGATTCCGTTTTTGTCGGGTTTTCAGTTTTTTCGGTTATTTATCGGTTTTTTTCTTAAATATAAGACATACACTAACAAACGCATATTGCGGCGACTACATTTTCAACGTAACACTATTAAATCAATTGCTCTTTGAGAAATCTATCATTTACCAAGATATATTGATGATAATTGAATTAAATAGTGATGAATAATTTAAGTACTCAATTAAAAATTGATTATTTTTGTCATGAAATAAATTCTTGTACTTGCAAAAGAAAACTACCAATCAAACCAGAATGTAAAGGCAAAGAATTAGATTATTATAATAGCAAAGAACTAGACTAAAAATACAAATGACTAATATGTACGATAAAATTTTAGAAACTTTATAATAAAATATATATATGTAGGTGTAATTATAATTTTAAATAGCTACTTTTATAGTCAGTTTGGTTTGATTTTTTTTCGCTTATTTTTTTTATTAAAACCAAAACCAAACCAAATTTGATCGGTTTTTAAAATTTAAAATCAAAACCAAACTGGTTTAGTTTTTCGGATTTTTATGAATACCCCTACAAGCATATGTTATAAACGTAAAAAGTTTGTTTCTGATACACTCTGGACTCAAGAAATAATGAAAATAAGCACCTTTATGTCTTACTTCTATAAGTTATAAAAGAAATTTAATAATTTAAAAAAATTCGGCAAGATAAATAGAACTCTTATATGAAATAAATACTGCAAGTAATTTACTATAACAGATAAAATTACATAGAATAGTGTAACCAATTTTTACAATTGAAGAAACATAAATTAATTCCTTTTAAACACTGTTATTTTTTGAATAATAAATACTAGTGCGCTATAATTGGAGAAACAAAAAGATAATAAAAATGTAAACGGCGGAGTAAAGATAGAAGAATAAATAAGTAGTAACTAAATAGTGCTAATAATAAAAGATTTACATTAACTTGTAGCTGTGACGCAGCCGGGTTTTTGCCCAAAGAAACAAAACAGAAAAATCCCAATCCGGAGCAAACTCCACCGAACGACGGTGGCTTCCTCTCCATTTGACACTTCTTCTTCTACCTCAGATTCACTCGCCCATTTCTATTTAATCGCTATTTCTCTTTTCGCCTCACTACTTTGATCAATTGTCACGCCGATACCCTCCCGCAGTCTTCTTTGTTATCTATCATCATCACCTATGAAGACCAGTTTTTTTTTTCGAAAAAGGGGAAGAGATATTTGAGTTAATCGACGTAGAGGAATAACTTGAAAATCTTGTGTGGATGGATCTATGAATGATAAAGATCATGGTTTGACTGTTGAAGAAATTGGTTGGTGAATGAGGATGGGATTAGAATCTTCTGGTGAAACTAATCCTCGTGATTTCCGGAAGATTATTGTGATGATTCCTTTGCTTTAGGGTTTCGTTTCTGTTGTAATTTGTAATACTAATAATAGTTATTAATGGATGAGGGCAGTAGTAGTTCTAAGGAACAGGCGGCAGAGGAAGCCTTATCATCATCATCTTCATGGCGACCCAGCCAGGGAGTGTTTGGTCCTTATTTTTCTGTTCTTCAGCCAAATGCTAAGCCCCAAAGTTTGCGGGTAGTTGTTAGAAGACCTGTAAGTGTTTCTTTCTCCAATATTATTTAGAATTCTTTACTTTGTTTACTGTATTCCACTTTGCATTTGAGCTTTATTTGTTGGGGGTGAGATAAAATTCCGTCCATTACTGCATTCTGGATTTTGAGTTAGGAGGAGTCAGTGGAAATACATTTACAGATAATAATTTTTCTGTATCCGTAGAATGTCCTAAGTAATTAGAGTTAAAAGTTTATCCTAAAGCTCGTCATATGGTAGTCTAAAGCTGTCCTGTTTATACTGTCTGGTTTCTTCAACCTCGGGTTAAATGACTAAGAAAGGAATCCATTTGAGGTTTTGAGCTAGTTCAATCTGGATAATTGGGTTGCTAGTAATAAGAAAGAGTCTTGGTCTATTTGTCTTATGGGTCGCATGTAACAGCTGATTGCTGAAGCAGTACCGCTGAGAGTTAAAAGTCCACTACATGGCTGGCCTGATCTGCCATATTATCTTGGGTGGACTGAAGATAACTGTTTGTTATATCAGCTCTAAGGAGGGGTGAGTATGGTAAACGTGTTTTTGGGATGATCAGTGATAAGGTTTATGACTAATTAACTGGAATGTTTGCTGTATTTACTCTTTAGACTGGAATTTGTAGCTATACCAGCGACCAATGGTGCTCTGACTCAGTGTTGTCAAAGGCGCGCTTAAGCCCTGAAGCAAGGCTCAAAACATGTTGAGCGCTTTGCCTCGCTTTGTGGGCGCTTTAGTGTCGCATCAAGGCTCTAAGGCATGTTTTTCCTTGCCGATGAGTGTAATCCTGAAAATGCGACATTAAACATTTGATATTTCACTTTATCGTAATTGTTTTTTTCAATTTCTTTGTCCATATATTTGTTATTCATGCTTATAATTATTACTCTTGGACTACATATACATATTTTTACTTTTTCTCTAGTTGCGCCTTTTTTCATTAAAGCCCACGCCTTATTTGTGCTTTGCGCTTAAAGCCCCAACGGACCTTAGAGCTTTTTTGCGCTTTTCGCCTTTGA